CCGCTTTGCTTCTGTATTGATGTTTTCCACCGCCACTGCAGCCCACACCAACCTCATGGCATGGGGATCCTGTGGGCTCCAGCAATGTGCCAGCTGATCCCAGATGTCCCCCAAGGTTTCCCAGCCTGTAGCAAAAGACACTCATTTTTTTCAAAGATTTTGAAGACACTTTCCCTTGTTTGAGGAAAAAGGGAGAGGAGATGGGACACATAAGCATCAACCTGAGGAATTTTCTTAACTCTTTATTTATGCTAAAGCATGTCCAAGCTTTCAGTGGCAGCCTACCAAGAGATCTTTCAGACAATTCCTTCCGAATTTCTACTTCCCATCTCAAATATAAGATGATTTTCCAGTAGAGAGAAAAATACAGCTACGGCCAAATTATAAGACATAAATCGGCCTGTTTTTTTCTGTAGCTCTGTTTAAAATAAACAAGATGATCCTTTTCTCTTGGCCTTCCTGTAACTTAGAAGCTCAAGAAGTTTGAACCTTGGACATTTACACAGTACTTCCTGTTAATGAATCACGAATCTTCCTAAAATGTTTCAGAACGGGGCTGAAGTTACTTTGCACATGCAGGAATGTCTGAAAAAGTCTGGAAAACGAGAGTCTCTGAAAGAATCAGAAGGAATTTGGAGAGATACAATGAAAATTAATTTCAGAGCATGAGATAAAGGGCAGGGTGTGCTGCCCCTTTTAAAAAGATGCTGACATGCAAGAAAATATAGAAGAACAGTGTTCTGAGCCCTGGAGAGGTAAGACAGGGATTAAGCAAAATTTCTGTTTCAGCATAGTCACTAATCCCAATTCATCTGTCATGGGAGAGTCTCCATTAACCAGTTATACTTCTCAATAGCGCAATCATGTTCTCTTGCTTAATGTGTCATCCATCAAGGCCCTAATTAATATTTATCTTACCCAAGCAGGAGGGAATGGCTTTACAGACACATCCTCATTGTCACCAGTTGATCCAACAGTCTGACTTTGTCATCTCTAATAGGCCAGGCCAGGTTAACTGTGGGGGCGACATCTGCAAACAAAACACAGATCTTCATATGGCAGAGTGGAAATCCTTCGTTGCTGAAGAATCAAAAGAAAAAAAAATAAAAATAAAAAAGGGAGAGACACAGGAGCATTTATGCATTCACAAAAGAGCAGGGAGTATGAAGAGGAAACGATAGCAGCACATTTATTTTAATTGATCCTTCAGTGAATAAGAATAAAAAATATTTCCCCTGCTGCCACTTCCCCTCTCACCACCCTTGGAGCTAGCCATGAGGAGAAGCTGTAAAATCACGTAAGCAAATAGGCTATTGTGAATGTGTCTTGGTTTCTGAGGCCCTAGGAGCTACTTGACTCCTGCAGCCCCATGGTTAAGTATCTCAGGTGACAGCTAGGCATTTTCAGCTAAAGAATATAGCAACTGCCTCTTGGGTTCAGGAGGGCCAGTTCCTGATCAAGATGTCTCCCAGATAACAGCAGGCACCTGGATTTAAATTCATTTTTTATTCATTTAATTCATTTGTTTATTCATTTCCTCATTCTGTGTTGAAGAAACAGAAATGGCATCTCTCTCTTTCCACCAGTAGATCTCAGGGCACTTTTATTACTGCCATTAGCCCTGTTTTCCCAAGAGGGACGCCAAGCCAGGGGAGCTTCCCCTGTGATTTATGCGAGGAGCAGCATCAGCAGTTCCGAGCAGACCTCCCATACTGCAGTGATGCTTGGTGCTCCATGCTGCCATGAAGACCTGTGTTGGGATCCCCTGGGCAGAGCGCAGCCAAGGAGGACAGTCGGCAAGACGAGCAGGATACGGCCATGGCTGGGTCAGGCCCAAGGCTGGGACAATTCTGGTGAGCGCAGAGACAGGCAGGAGGAGAAGGGTGATGCGCCACTGTAGGAAAAGCAAAGAGGGCACATAGGCACATCCAGTGCTTGTGGCTTGTTCTTCTCCCATCCATACTCATTTAGCCATCCAATTTGATTTGCTTTCCAGAGCAGTCTCACCATGCACCACCTCTTAGGTCTCAAGATGATCCTGAAAAGCCCTTTCTTCTCTCCAAACACCTTCCTACCTCTCTCTGAACACCCTGCAAAGCCCTCATAATTATAAAAAACATCAGACTGAAGGCACCCCAAGTGACAGTTGTCAGTCTGACCTCAGCCCACAGCAGGCCCAATGCTACAGCTATAGCAGGTTGCTTAGGGTTGTGTCCAGGTGAATCTAGGTAATCCCTGAGGACAGAAACCACCCACTATTCAACTTCATCAATACTATAATCCCAAACGCTGAAGGAAATCATTTAAGTTGTCTGTCCCAGATTGACCTTCAGTGTTCCAGTGATCTGAAAAAGACATGGAGGGTGTCCTGGTTGAAAATGGTGGAGGCTCATGTAGTCACAATGGCATGTCTCAACCATCTACTGTGCCCTCCTGAGCCAAAGGAGCCTGGGGAAGCTCTAGAGATACTACAGGCCAGAGAAGCAAAGCTGAGAACCAATCCTGAGTACTGAATCTTCCATGATGTACCATGGCATGATTTTGTGCCAACCATTCTGAACACCACATCCTGATCTTCTCGGTAGCCCTTATGGGAAGGCACACAGGGTGGCCTCAAGACAAATAAGAAGGGAACCATCAACCAGTTCCTTCCAGTTCCTGTCCAGAAATGGGTAACTTCCATCAGTTGAGAGCTCTGGAGTGCATCTGCTTCGTAAACCCGTCTCCACCCCAAGGCGGGATGACAACCCATCTCAGCTGCTTGCTGCTCATCAGGGGTTTTTTGTTCCTGTTTTTTGTTGTTGTTTTTTTTTTTTCTTTTGAATTTCTTCTAAACCAGGACTGATAGTTCACCTGAGGATTCTGCTCTGTCATTCTTCTTCAGTACATTCTTATGGTTTGAACTGATAAAGCACGATAGGAATACACATGTCAATGCTGATCTATATCATTACAATAAACTGCACAGTAGAGCATGTAGAAAGCACTGTTCGTTAATTTGCCCTGATTTACAAGTTTCTAATTCACAGCAGACTTTTGATGCCAATTTATCGCGCTTTTTCGCTTCTTCTGTAAAGTACAAGGGGAAATTGCATCATCCTTAGGCTTTCAGATGGCAAACCCTTAGGCAGATGCAGTAGACTTCCTATGTTGATCCCTATGAAACACCATGCGGTGTCAACTGTAGGACGCCACAAGTTTCACCAGAGCCCGGTTCAGGGGGGTGGGAAGCCTGTTCCCTGGATCCAGCATTGCTCTCTTCTTTACAGACACAGTAGTCAGCATAATCACTGCTCCATTTTGCTTTCCAAACTGAACTGCAGTTTCCTTGCTTTACAAGATGCTGCTGAAGCTCCGAACTCTCCAGAGTAAAAGTAACAAAGCACACAACCCTACTGAAGGTGGCAAAAGACATCCTGACTCCCTGGACATGTTGGCAGAGCTGGTCTAGAGGAATATCTTCTAAAGTAAAGAAGTATAGAGGGATGAACTAGGTTGGTTTCTGCTATGGATAGCTATTGGGCATTTTGTGGGTACAAACAGCCCTTGATTTGGTCTGGATTTCTTTTATTTTTAGCCTGAAGCCTGAATGTACTGGGCTCCCTTCACTGTTCTGAACTAAGGCCATAATGGAGCAGGGCTTTTGTTCCAGATAACTAATTAGTGTGCTCATCATTAAAGCCAGCCTCAAGGGTTTCATCTGGGATTAGTCTGTTGTTTGTGGTAGCTCTGAAGGGAAGGCTGTTCAGCTCCCTGCTGCTGATCCCTCCAGCAGATGTGAGAGACGGTCACTGCACAGCAAGGGCTGGCTGTCAGAGACATCTGCGTGCTGCTGCAGGAAAGCACTCCCATCTGGATGTCAGAAAATATGCCCTTGGTGACCCAAGGACACAGTCAGAGAAATGCTGCTGAAGGAACCAGCTGGTAATACAATTGCTCGGTCTCCAACCTTATGTTTTCTTCCCCCTGCATTGTAGGACAGCAGAAATCTCTTCTATCACTTGCAGCTTCTCCCTAGCTCCCCATTTCATTCTCCCGCCTCAAGACTTCTCCTCAGCATAGAGAGGAGAAGTTCCCCTTCCTCTTCTCCCCTTTCCCCACTGGAGCACAGGGGACAGCAGCATGGCAGCCTTCGGACATCGCTGCACATGGACCCTGGTTCCCTGACCTGGAAATATGCTCACCGGAGCGAAATTTCTTCCTTTGCAAGTGCCTGGCTATGAGAGACTCAACAGTCTCCTTGATGATGGCCTACTTGTTTTTGGGAAGCGGCTGTGCTATTTTTTAGCAGCATGTCCTCAAGGAAATCCCGCAGATGTTCTCTTGACCCTTCCTGCCTAATACATGGGATATTCTTCAGAACGAAGAGTACACGGAGGAGGGACATTTGAACTCAGCAAATTGGAAGCAAACATACAACAACAACAAAAATGCTTTTTGGGGAAGATCCCCAAACTTAGGTCAAAATTAGCTTGTAGCTTGGGCCTAGGGCAGTATAGAATCTTAGAAAAATCAGGCTGAATGCACTAATAATTGGGGATGCCTATGTGAGCCCTGGGGAGGTGTCCTGTGTTTTGGTCTAAATAACAAGGAGGCTGGTTCCCACCCTTAGCTGGATAACTCACTTCCTGCCTTGGATGTCTATTAGGCACCACCTCACTTCCTGCCTTGGATGTCTATTAGCTTTCCTGGCCATAGCTCTGAGCAACAAGCCTGGTCGTCCCTACTAAATTACTGAGTGGCTTTTGGAAAGTTTATGTTATCTCTTCTAGCAGTCTTCATCTCAGTCATGACCTATAGTCCTGCCACAACTTCCACTCATGCTGAGGATCCTGGAGTCAAAATGTCTCAGCGACTCAAGACCTTTTTCATGTGGTTTATTGTCCACCGTTGCCCCCTTTTGTGCCCTGCTCTGGAACCAGTATCCTCAGAACACTGATCTTTCTATTAACACGGAGGTTGCCCTTTGCAAGATTTTCGCTTTCCTTCACCATGAAAATTCTTGTGCAACTGCTATAAATCTGCAGTTCCAGCCACCTCATTATTCCTCACAACTCCCTTTTTTCTCACTCTTTCGCTGTTTTCCACTTCTTGGCTTCCATATTCCATTTGCAGTCTCTCTGCTGCATTTATCCATGCTGTTCTTATTCATGTCTGTCCCTGAGGTGGCTGAGGAGCATGCAGGAAACAGCCAGAAACATGTGTTCCTCCAGGTCTACATCCCGACCAGGAACCTCCAGATTTGGAGTAGGAGAATGCAACTGGGTCTATCCACCAAGAGACCCTGAAAACAAGGTGGGAAAATTCAGTGTCATTCATCTGTCACGAGCCTGAGCTTTACTCTGCATCAGTACAGGTCTGGGCAAATCTGAAAATCCAAACTCATTACACAACAGCAGTTGCTTTGGGGAAGTGCTGTGAGATACAATTAGCCAACATCTGCATGGTGTTTCTTACATTCATGCCATGCCAAATCCATCACCTTTTTAAACATGTGCTTGACTCCCTTTGGCCACACACTTTTATTTTTCTATCAGAAGCTCTGTTCCAGTAGTGCACAGAGGTTTCCTATAGATCTCGGTCTCCATGAACTGAATCTGTCCCATCATCAGATGGTATAGAGCCATCTAAGTCAAGAGGACAGCTTTGATATAAAACATCAGCACATGTTGTGAGCTCTGTGAAGATATGTATCCCTTGGTTTGGACACATGGCAAGTCATTATTCCAGTGATATTCTCAATTGCTAATTTACTCTATAGCTGAAATGGAGCAGAAGCCATTTTTCTCCTAAATCAGGGATGGATAAACACTGCATGTTTTTCCAAACACAATGCTTGGAGTGCATTCAGAACCACCCTGCAACTCAGAAACCTCTCCACCTACTCTCTACTACCACCTCCAAGCAGCACTCATCCTACCTATTGAAAGCAAAAAGAGCTGGGCTCTAGCATTCGTTGGTCTTGGTGATGGATTATCTTCCAAGCTACGCTTAGACTTTTGGCACAGTGGCAACATATGTGAGTCCAGATCAGAGGATTTCTTGTCTGAACCATGCAAGGGTCAATGTGTCTTTAGCATGCCTACTTCGTGGTCCAAAACAGGACCTTGTATAACTCACAGAGAGCACTGTTGTTTTTGGCTAGTTTTGCCTGTTTAAAATTGCTGAAAAATCTCAAGTTTGGGGAAGCTCCAAATCTGCAGTAGCATTCCTGGGAAGACTCTGTTTTGGCAGAGGCATGGGAGAGTTCACTTGCTGGGAGAGGATTATAGGCCCTGTGGAAATCTCAGCAGCTGCCGGAGATGTAAGCCTGGGCACTTGGTGGGAGAAAGAATGTAAGACAGGAAGTCTTTGGATGCAAGACTGCTTAGAAACCCAAGGCATGTGCCAAGATTGCAAAATGAAGAAGGAAAGGGCTTTTCAGGGTTTACTGAATACTGGATGGAGAATTTTGCAGCAGAGCTGCAGACACGTCCATGGGCAGATGTCCCCAGGCAGCAGGTTGATGTGATGGATCGCTGGGAGGGCAAAAGCAAAGGGCTGCTGCTTTTTGCGTTTGCATTTTAGGGTAATTTGGATTTTTTCAGGAATTTTTCATTTCCAGGCCAGTTCTATGGAGAAATGTCACACGGGATTCAGGTGGTTAAATGCTGGTAGGATAAGAGTGACACTTGACAATTTGAATAAAATTAATTTCAGGTCATTCTGTTTACTTTCATTAACACTACATGCATCACAAATTCCATTTAAAAGGAGGCTCCAAAATAGGGAAATGAAGCTCCACGTTCAAGGATTGGCCAAATTCACCTGGACAGAGAACTGAGCAACCTGCTGTAGCTGAGATGTTGGCCCTGCAGTGAGTTGGTCAGGCCAGAGATCCCCCGCCCAGGCATGCCTCCAGCCTGAGCCTATGATTTGTTGAATTTTGTAATTTATTGCCTTCATTTAATAGCTAATTTTGTTTTGGATGAGCACCACAGATCATAAGAACATATCTTCTTCTGCAGAGCTATCCTTGGGGGATGTCTAAAAAAAGCTAAACCCTAATGCAAAGAACCTACAGGTCTGCAATTAGGGCCATCGAACTCTGCAGATACCTAGTGTCACCTCTCAGACAGTCATTTACTATGCTAGGTGACAGAAGAGGCTCTAGAAAATTTAGTCTTGCCCAGAGGAAACCTCAGCTGATCTATGTGAAGATCTTGTAGATGAAGAGATGACCCTCAGCAGCTGAGGAGCACCGAGATTTGCGAGCTCACTGCCCCACAATGTTTTCAGTCTTCCATGAAAATACACTTCCCAAGTCCAAGAGAGTTTCAACCAACTAAAAAATCCAAGCTTTCAAGGTAAGAAGGGGGGAATGCCAAATGGGGACAAATGGCATCTTTTTTTTTTTTTTTTTCTGGGACACCACCACAGTGACTCCAGCAGCTGTCCAACAGAAAATTTTCTACAAGCGTTTTCCGTTGAATGTGAGCTTAAGTTCAGACTCCAAATGCAATAGCTTGACTTCTAATGCAGTGAAGCAGCAATTGCCCAGCCCGCTTCAAGCACTTCAACGTCATGTGGAAGTGCAGTTGCTGAAAAAGCAGATAATGAAGGCACGTCCATAATTTACTGGTATCAACTACAAAACTATCTACAATAGAGAACAGCTTGGTCACGAAGGACAACATGGATTTTGCAAAGGTCCATCACATTGCATATCAGTTTTAAACCTTTCTGCCCTACACTTCAGGATATTGTATCTACAGCTGCATACTTGAAGATGTACCATGCCAAACAATGTTTTCGTCAATGATGGACTCTGCAGGTGACAACTGAAGTAGTGATCAATTGCTACAATTGGAGTTTGACTCTCAGTTACTCTGGAAAGTGCCTTTTTTATTCATTTAATGAGCCAAAATGTCATAGGGGGTGTGGGTATATTTTGATGCAGGAACAACCAACTTTGCTGGATTCAATCCTGGACTCAGTCATATTGGGTTAAAAAAAAAGAAAAAAAAAGAGGTTAAAATACCTAATCAGTATTTCCAACTTCATGCCGTTTTGAGTGGTAATGAAAACACTGTTGAGCAGCAGTGATTGATTCTTCACTCCTGCCTGCTTCAGCCTTTCTTTCCTGCCTTTACATCCGTGCAAAGTCAAACATTGCCTTTGTAGATTTTATCTTCGGACGATTGGGCAATCCTTGATAATATCGCTGGCCCGTCATGCCCAAGGAATCCATAAATCATCTGAATGAATACAGCAGGGAGCTACAAGCCTACAGCACATGGCGAAACCCAAAATTGCAGCTAGAACAGCAGCCAGGCCAGATACAAGACGCAAGAGATGTAGAACTGTTACATCATCATCATCTCCAATATGTATGCTCTATTTTGCTTCTGATTTTCACCACTAATTTTAAGCCAACAGGGTTGCATCCTGCTTAGTGACAGCAATCCTTTCCTCTCCTAAGTGTGATGGAGTTTGCTTTGTTTACAACATACTAAAGAGGATGACCTCAAGTTCCTTGTTTCACGGTGTATTTTCCTTCATTCAGAAGGCTGAAACGTGGTGATCCTGCTTTTGCTATAGAAAATTAGTGGAGGAAATTCAAGCTTTCAGGTGCAAGGGAATTTCAAACAGGGGTGGTTGCACCAGTAATGTACCTGCTCCTGACCTGACGTCTGAAAAGAAAGCAACATCATGCAGTGGGTATCTCAAACCATTGCTTCAGAGACCTCAGCAGTTAGAGAACTCAGTAGAAATCAATATTCACTAAAGATGGTGATGACATTTCTTGCTTATCTCCATAATCCTCATGCTTTACGGGCTTACATGGCTGACCACCAACAAATCCAGAAATAGGCTTCCCTTTGAGCAACCTGCTGAGAGCAACTCCCTAGCAATAAACTTAGTAGTGTGTCTAATTCAGTGTCACTTATAAATAATTAGCCCATAATAGATCATTGGACAAGCTCTCATGGTAAGGTACAATTACAAGGGCTGCTGTTCTCCTGTGGAAACAGCGAGGTCTGTCTCATAGGTATCTGCAGCCCTGAAAGCCCCAGCGATTTGGATTGAGGAGGATTGGTACCAAGAGCACAGGATGGCCTGGTTTCCCAGGCAAGGGCTGGCTAGAGATACTTTGGCTGAAAATTGCACTCTCCTTTCCCCAGTACAGAACTGTCCCAAGGCAAAAATTAGCTGCCAGTTATGTTTGCATGTGTATGATGTAAACATGTCACACACATGCTGGAAATAACAAGACTCCACCATAGAACTCCTCTCCACTCTTTTTCTCTCTAGCTTTCCAGGGAGCTTTCACTGAGGCTTCTCCGAGTCCCTCAGAGACCTGAGGTTTCCACAGAGAACCTTGGGCACATGGGGCTGCCAATTGTCCAAGCAGCTTGAGAATGCTCACTGGTCATGAAAGTGGAGAGAGGGGGACATTTTCATAGACTCAACGAGCTAGCAGAAGGCCACTTGCATTTGCATTACACCTGTGGCATCTCTGGGGTACTCACCAGTTCATGCGGCTGTCAGAAGGGAGGATGTCAGCTCATCACACACTGGTTCTCCACTTGGGTAGAGCAGCTTCTTACCCAATGTGGTCTGCTTGTCTGTGGTAACTGGAAGGTAAGTACCATTCATCTTTCCTTTCTCTGGAAAGGAAAAAGTTTCACAAAACACAAAAAAAAGCACAAAAATTTCAAGGAGGACATGTGAACCTGCTGTGCATCCCTCCTATGAACACACACAGCGCTACTGAAGGACCTCCAGGATGTCAGAAACAAGCAGACACTACCAAGAAAAAACGTAAACTTAGAGGCCGTGACGGCGATTTCTGCCTTGCTGAAGAAAAGCAGAGAGGATAGTTCCAAGCACAGAGCATCGCCGAACAGACAAAACACATTGCCAGGCACAACAGGCACATCTGGCTCAGAGTGCTGGAGGCCGGGCTGCTCTACAAGCCCTGAGAAGCACACACAGCTTTCAGGGTTGCCCTCCAGTCCACCTCAGTGCTGAGCAGAGCAGGGGAAGAGCTAAGGTCTCTGCTGGAAAAGCAGCCATCGGGCTTCCCAGGAGGAACGATGAGGACGGGATCTCAGAAGTCCCTGGAGCCTTCAGGTCAGAGTGGGTAAGGACCACTTGATTGTGTGAGAGTGCGTGAAAGCAGCTAAGTCGTATTTACCACTGGCAAAATGAATTTTTCCCGCAGTCTCTTTGCTGTAATCACAAGAAACCTAGGCCTGCAATAACTAACTTATTCTACTCCCAAAAAAACAACAAAACAACTTTCCATCATCTATAAGGCTAAAAAAAAAAAAAAGGCCACACAATACTGAACAAACTTGAGGAAAGTGTCTCCTTTGGGTTCCCTTTATTCCAGTTTTATTTGAGCTGGATTATGTAAGAAGAAACAGGCATCAGTCCTGGAGGTCTGTGGTTTGATCCCAGCGCACAGTAGGGTTAATGCTGCAGCTACAAGTTGCTCAGGGATGTCTTCAGGCAAGCCTGGGCAATCTCCAGGGATGGAGATATCCTGCTATTCCCAGATGGCTCCATTTGCATAGGGAAGGATTGCTTGCATAGGGTCAGGTTGTGCCATGGGCTCCGCCACTTTGAGCAGAGTCTGGCCCCATAGTTCCCTGCAATCCCTTTGGGTAGGAGAAAGTCCAGACGAATCTCCTTTCACCTTCTCATCTCCTGGCTGAACAAGCCCACATCCTGCAGCCTTTCCTGGCCTCCAGCCCCACCGTCTCCCTGGACTCACTCCATTTTGTTGATGTCTCTGATAAAGATCTGGATGCAACTTAACTTTGTTACCAGCAGTGAGGAGCTTTAGCACTCAGATGGGGATTTACAGACAGGTTGCTCAGACGTCTATCACTTCAAGGTAGCAAATACAAAATACAAGCAAATACAGCTTGAAGACTACTTACAGTGGTCAGCACTGACACACAGTTTTAATGCACATGGCAGCGAAGGGACAGAAAACAGTCCTGGTTCCCCTCGGTGCACCACTCATACATCAGGTCTTCTGGTCAGAGACACCTGGGGCTTCAGCAGCTCTGAAATATGCTTGTAGGAAATGAACCAAATGAATCCAGCCCACGATAAACAAAACCTTGGGCTGTACCAAAAGCAAGCAGATGCCCTGTGTACAGACCATTCTCAAAGCTGTCTTGCAAAGCATGATTCATCTGGATTTGTGGAAAATAATTCCATATATAGATATATATGTGTGTGTTTGTGTGTATCTATTGCTACCAAAGTCCTCAGATAGACTTGATAGAAAAAGGACTTCAGCTCATGTGTTGCAAATGGCATTGTGCACTTCCCCACCTCACCGCTGTTCAAAAACCTCTGTCCTGGTTGACTGATGACAGCTAACCATAGTAACCTGGGAAATGCGGCAGGAATAGACAGGATAGCACTTCCATATGGTGTTTCATGACATGACTCCTGCTAATTTCCGTGGTGTTAAATGCCAGGAGACAATACGCATCTTGAGAAGGAGATTAATACTTCCTTTAATTAATTAATATTATTAATTATGTTAAGTAATATTATAACAGACCACAATATAAGTTTATGAAATACTCAGGAAAAAAAAAAAACTTTTTTTGCCCCATTTTGTTGTGGGCCAAACGTTTCGCTTGCTAAGGGTAAGGGAGCCTGGGGAGCAGCTGGGCTGGTAGGAGGTTAACAGGGAGTGCCACCTTCCGGTGGATAGGGAACTCTATTTTGCCAGCTCAAAAAATAAAAATTAAAATAAATCAAATCAAATCAAATCAAATCAAATTTTTGAAATACCACAGCTGCCATTTGGGAGAAAAATGAAAGAGCCAAGAGGTCTGGTGTTCCCTCAGAAGTCTGACCTGTGGGATGCGGAGCAGTGAAAAGTTTCTAAATGGCAACTTAGGACCTAAATATATCAGACTTCTGCCTTCTTAGAGTGACTCTGTGGCTGCATAAGATTTCCAGTTATTCTAGCAGTTATTCCAGATTTGGAAACTAATTTTTGCTTCTTCCCTGACTTTGCTGCTAGAAAAGTCCTGTGGTAGCCCCAGTGGCAATGGGGTAGGAACACCAGGGGATGCACCGGGTGATTGCGAGGTAGCAACAAGAGGTGGTGGTCTTTATTCTGTACCATGGCTGATCTCCTAAGGGACCCATCTGGAAGGTTTCCCAGATATCAGACAAAGACTAGGTTTTGGAACCTGCCTATGTCCCATGCTTGCTTCTGGTGTTCTGTTATCTTCTAATCTGCTCTTTGACCTGTCTGGAGAGATATGGTTGGTGTCTAACATTTATGAGAGAACCTGACAGTTCCCTCATGTAGCTCTCAGAGGTCTCATGTGAACTTAAAAACTGCACTGGAAATAATGGTGACACCCCATATTTCTGTGAAGTAGGTGTCACAGACCCTTTCATTGATGACTGCTCAATCATCCTTATGCCCAGAGAGCTGATGGAACAGAGTACGTGAGAAGGTATAAAGAGGTATTCAGGCTTCTTCAGTCACAAATGAAAACCTCTCCCTCAATTAGTTCACTCTGTGAACACCTTCCAACAGCTTGACCACAACAGTTCCATTCGGAGAAAGTGGTTGTCTCCTTCCTCACCCCAGACTTCTGTGTCATTTCATAGTGAAGCTCAGGTCATGGTCAGGATAGCAGAATCACTTTGATGCCACGGATTCAAGCAGCTGGTACAAAACTGGAGATGCACTCTATCCTTTGCATGTAGTGTCTACCCACTGCAGGTTCATATTCACCAACCTTGGTGTCCAAGGGATAGCCCAAAGAAGGGCCCATTGCACCTTCGATGACCACCAGGTAGTTAATAAGGATGAAGGCGTGCTGTACTTGCGGGATGGGTGGAGATGTTTGTGTGCAGTGTCAAACAGCTACCACCCAGGCAATGTGGCCAAGAAAAGGGTCTTCACAGGATCACAGAGCACTAAAGTTAGAGAACGATCGCATGGAGGAAGAAACCTCTAGAGAAGATCTGGTCCAAACGTCAGTCAAAACAGGACCAACTACAGCAGGTTGCTCAAGGTCTTTGCATATCCCTCAAGGTGTTTGGACATCCCTAAGGATAGAGATCTCACAGTCTCCATCATCCATCACCACCTCTCCCCCAGCTGAAGCTCTTGTTTGTCTGTTTTTTGGCACCGTTTGGGTTTTTGCAGTGTTTTAACCCCAGAACTCAGACCCCGCCGCGTGACTTCACGGCATCTCCTGCACTATCGAGCTCCTGGAGCGGGGAAGGGCCTGCCCCGTCTCCCCTCCGGTGTGGAGCCCCTGCTGCTGGCAGAGCCCGCCGCCGCGCTGTCCCCACTGCCCGCCACCGTACTGCCCGCCCTCACCTACTGGCTGCTCTACCTCACCTAGTGCCCGCCAGCCTCCGCGCATCCCTCCCGCCTGGCTGCGCATCCCTCTGCTCTTCCCGCTCCCCTCTGCAGTCTCCCCTTCCTCCAGATGCTCCCTGGCATTCCCCCGGCTTCACGGAACAACAGGCTGCTCCCGGGTGTCCTCGCGCCGCCACATCGCTTGGAAAGCGGAATGCTCGCTCCAAGCTGGAGTGCCCCGGGAGGCCGTTGAGCATCTGGGCTGCATGGGGCCAGGCTGCAGAACAGAGCGAGTCCCAAAGGCCCCTCAAAGCAATAATGGAGCTGAAACTTCAACCGGCCCCAGGCCACTGCCCATCCTCCCCATCCTCCTGCGTTCTCTTTTGGCGATTCCTTTCTCTATGGATGAGTTTTTAAAAGGTTGCCATTCGATGGGATTTCAAGGACCAGCTGCAAAGTGCAGGTGCCACGACCCTGCTCTGCAGTGGGGGGAACTGCAGAACCAATCTGAACAGGAAAAGTGACAAAATAACTTCCCCAAATACCTGTTTTGGGGAGTATTTAAGGCACAAGGTGGTTCAGCCTGTGTGTGTACGTGTCATACCACCTTGTCCTTCTAACCTCATTTAAATTGTCTGCAAAACGACTTCATTTTTAAGTTCTTTTTGTTTATTGCCTTGCTCAGAAACCATCTGACTTCGACTCTGAGCTGCCGCTGTTCAGAGTGGTGCTGGCACTGAAAAGACATAAAAACTCACAGCGTAAATTCAGGCAGATAAATTTATTTGCGGATCGATTTCAGGATCAGCGAAGAGAGCGCTGCATCTCGTGACAAACACAAGTGTGGCTCTGCCTTGAGATCCTTCTGAAGACACAGACATGAAGGGGCGGTAGCAATGCAGCTCCCAAAATATTTGTCCAACACAAACTGCTGCATCTGCACAATTCTCCCCTTTCAATTTTCCCTTTAGGGAGTAAAATTTTCCAGCTTGTCCGCAGTGTTGTCGCTAACTCTTGCTGGCCATGACCACTAGTATTTTTTCTGCCTAACATCCATGTGCTGCGCTGACCTTCAGGCTTTTTTCTTGGGGCCTTTAAATCCTCGGGTGGCTCCTTGCCCAAAGCAAATCGTGGAGGGGATCCTAGAAGGGGAGAGATGCTTTAATACCACTTTTGAGGTCAGCCCTGGTGTGTAGCAGCAAGGGAAAGCACCTGCAGACACTTGTGACAAGGGAGACCCGCAGATAATTTTTCCTCACTCATTATCCATTAGCTCCCCAGCCTCGGTTTCCTCACGTATAAAAAAAAAGACTCCAAACATAAAAATAACTCACTCTGGGGGAAACCTGCTGGTGATGCAGCTTTTGCCTGCGAAAGCGAATGGTACAAACCTGGATCTGTAGAATCGTTTCTCAGGGAGCGGGTTGGGCGCGGGCAAAGGGACCTCCATGCCCTCACTGGGGCCTATTTCCATGGAATCTGCTTGAAACTGCTCCGAAGCCCCCACGCTCACGTCCATTGCTGCCCCCGCGTCCTGCTCCACGGGAGGTCTCTCCTGCTTGGTGCTGCTGAGGGGACAAAATTTTACATCCTCTCTCTGGAGCTGCCAAACAAGCTCAGAGCGAGGAAAATGAAAAGCAGTTCATCAGCAAGCAATGAAAACAGAGTTAAAGGAGGCTCAGAGGGATATATTGCAAATTTAGCTGTGTGGACTGCCAGGAGCAGCCAGAAGCCTCTGGAGAGGATTCTGCCCAAGCCAAAAGCAAAGAGCAACAAAGTGCAATGTCCCTACGAAGGTGCAGGGAAAAATCAGCAGCTCTGCGCTCACCTTTTGATTTTTTTGGGTTTATCAAATCGGAAGTCAGCAGGGTAAAGGTGAGCGGTGACCAGGTGCTCCTTTCTGTCCTTGCTGCTCTTGAACTTCTCCACGCAGCCTTCCACTAAACACTTGTACTGAAAAGCAGTACAAAAACAGAGAAGAAAAAAAGAGAAATGAGAAATAAAAGAGAAAATTGAGTGCTCTCCCTTGCAACATCTCAGTGGAGACAAATTAGAAGGTTAATGAAACTATTTGGCTTTGAGCTTGCTCTCTAGCCAGCCTCCAGCCACATACAGAATAAAAATTTGTATGTGGCCGATTGATCTGCAAACAGCATCAGTCCATAAGGATGCCGGCCCGTGCCGTACGCCCAGGGACACTGCAATGAGAAGCGGCTGTAACCACCCAGGAGGCTGTCGCTAAGGAATAAAAATGAGGGGAAAAGCGGATTTTGCAAGCTCTTCATCATCGTCCCTGCCTCCCGACATCCACCACTCACCATGTTCTGTTTCTCTGCGAGGATCTGGAAGAGCGAGTCATGCCACTCAGAGATGTGGATGTCCAGGAGGCGCCCCGAGGGGAAAGAGCGCTTGCAGAAGGAGCACACGTTCCTGTGCAGCGCGTTGTAGTGGTGCTCGTAGCCCTCCAGTGTGTCGAAGACCTGGCAGCAGCCGGAGATGTGGCAGCTGAACTCGGACACCCTGCGGGGAGGAGCTGCGCTGCGTTACGGGCCTCCCTCGCTATAAAACCCTTAATCTCAGTTGCGTTTAACACCTCCCTTTAGGTGACTTTCCTTGCTTGCAGCAGTAATAAACTAAAGGAGTTGTTAAGATTACGAGAGTCAGGTTAAAACTCCTGCAGTGCATTCCGTTTCTTCCCTCGTCAAGCAGAAAAACCACCAAAAACTGCAGTCTGGGATCTTTATGGGAGGAAGCGGGGCAGGGTCCAAACACACAGCAGCTCCATGACAGGATCTCCTCGCCAGAAAGGAGGATTCACGCTACTCTGAAGGACTTTAAATTTTTAGGTATTGTTTAAAAAAAAAAAAAAAAAAAAAAAAAAAAGAAGAAGGCACTTACTTAGATCTTTCTGCCACCTCATTAACACTGGTAAGGACATCCTGGAGGTAGAGATGCCTGTGTACATCGCCATCCTGTACCAGGGAGCAGAAAAGTAAGGGGTTAGCACCAGGCAACAGCATCCGAGTAGGAAAACGCAGGGGAAAATAAATAATAAAAACAATATTTTCCTAAACAACATTAAAAATGTTGCCCAAAGACTCTTAAGGTTGAGAAGCTGCATTAAAGGAAACTAAATGGACATGTGGGGGATATATATATATATATATGTGTATA